TTAGTGGAAACGTTTCCGTTTCTCCTCTGGATCTGACCCGAAGTCCCGGGACCCGATGCCATTCTGAAGATTTATTAGTGAATCCTTCATCTGCAAGACAAGAAATTTCTCCACTGTGATGCTACCCTAGAGGTGAGAGTGCTCCAGGATTTCTTCTCCTGTTGGTGCCTGCTTCCTCCATGTAAAGTATTGATACCATAATCTGGGAGCGGTGCATCAGGGATGGGATGTACAAATGGGGACTGAGAAGATGGGAGCCCATGAGAGAGCATTCTCCCACCTAACAGAGATGGGGTGAGCTGGATGAGGTATGGGGCGAGCAGCCCTCTCCATAGGGACTACAGTGGAACCAGGTATGGCTGAAGGAGTGGGGAGGACATGGTCACCCTCTGGTCTCACCTGATCTAGAAGCATCACCGAGGATTTGATGATCTCACGCCATTTCTGTAGCTCTGAGTCATGATATTTCTGCTGAGATTCTAGTAACTGGGCCCATTCTGTTTGAGACTGGGGTAACCTGTCAGGCAGAACACGAGCAAGAGTGAATCTAGGGAAACTGAGGCCAAGGGGAAGCAAAGTGGATTGGGGGACCGTGTAGAGTCTATCAATCAGTTTGTGTCTTTTTACCCTGAAGGGTAAAATGTTTCCTTGAGCAAAAGTGCATTTAAGCATGCTTAGCATTTCCTAAATTGGATACAGTGGTTCTCTGCATGAATTAATAGCAAAGATGGGCCTTTTGCAGAAGTTGCTGTAGCGTGGGAGGAACCAAGGCAGTGTGCTCTCATTGCTGGGGAGATGTGTTATGCTGAGGGATGGCACTGCAGCCATTGATGGGGAATGGTGCAGTGCAGCCTAATGTGGTGGGAGAGGTGGCTCTGTACAGGTTTCTGTGTTGGTCTGTATTTTAATACAAGGCTCTCTTTGCTATGACTAATAGCAGCTCTTTCTTTAATGGCAGGTAGATGTAGGTATCGAGCCCTTCCCTTCAAGCCTAATTCATCCTCCAGAACAGGGCTGGAGGCTGCTGAGTGGAGCAGGATCAGGACACGAGCACTCCAGGCACATCACCAGGACTTGCTGCCCAGTGCTGCCACTCGGAGCCACGGGATGGGCCTCAGAGCATGGCTGGGCATCAGAGAAGATCCATCTCAGCTGAGCAGAGCGACACAAGGAGCATAGTGATGAGGAGCACAGTCAAGGCAGGTAGTGTGGCAGTGGCACCCCACTCGGCTCGTGTCTCCTGACAGGTATGGCTCTTAACTTCTGTGTCCCCCAGTTAAGATAAGTCTTTATCTTCTCAGATACCTAAAAGTCTTTCCTACCTTGTCTTCTACTTACCTCTTTGGGCTCTGCTAGGTGTATAGCTATAAAGTCTTTCTTCCTTATGTCATAACTAAAAGTCTTTCCAACTATTTTCTACTTACCTATTCCGGCTCTGTTGCTTTTAACATAGCTAAAAGTCTTTTCTTTGTCTTCTAGTTCCCTCTTTGTGCTCTGCTACTTTGTAACATAACTACAAATGTTTCCTACTCTGTCTCGTACTTACCCATTTGGGCTCTGCTACTTTCTAACATAACTAGAAATCTTTCCTGAAGTCTTTCCTACTGTCTTCTACTTCCTTCTTTGTGCTCTGGTGGTTTCTAAGATATAGCTAAAAATCTTTCCTGAAGTATTTCCTACTTTGCCTTCTGCTTTCTTCATTGGGTTCTACTGCTTTCCAGGACAGCTAAAAATTCTTTTTCATTCTTACTTCTTGGACTCTGCTGCTTTCTGACATAACTAGAAGTCTTTGTGTTTTGATTCTACTTGCCTATTTGGGCTATGCTGCTTCCTAAGATAGCTAAAAGTCTTCCCTTCTTCATCTTGTACTTCCCTCTTTGTGTTCTGCTACTTTCTAACAGAATCAGAATGGTTCCTACACTCTTATACTTACCTTTGCAACATAACTAGAAATCTTTCCTGAAGTCTTTCCTATTAGGTCTTCTGCTAAGTCTTGGCTAAAAAGTCTTTCCTGCTTAATTCTTCAGCTCTTCTGGTTTCTAACAGAACTAAAATCTTTCTGCCTCTGTCTACTCCTTCCCTCTTTGAGCTCTGCTACTTTCTAATGTAACTAGAAATGCTTCCTACTCTGTTTTGTAATTACCTGTTTTGGCTTTGCTTTCTGACGTAACTAGATATCTTCCCTGAATTCTTTCCTACTGTTGTCTACTTGCCTCTTTGTGCTCTGCTGGTTTCTAAGATAGCTAAAAAGGCTTTCCTGCTTAATGCTTGGCCTGTGCTATTTTCTAACATAGCTGAAAGTCATTCCTGAAGTCTTCCCTTTTTGGGCTCTGCTGGTTATTAAGATGGCTAAAAATGTCTTTCCTGCTTAATTCTTGGACTCTGCTGCTTCCTGATGTAAGTCTTTCCTTCTTTGTTTTCTACTTGTTTTTTTGAGCTCTGTTATTTTCCAGCATAACTAGACACATTTCCTACCCTCTCTTGTACCTGTTTTGGCAAGTTTTTCCTACTTTGTTTTCTGCTTCCCTCTTTGGGCTCTGCTACTTTCTAACAAAACTAGAAATCTTTCCTGAAGTCTTTCCTATTGGGTCTTCTAATTCCCTGTTTCCAAGATAGATAGAAGTCTTTCCTACTTTGTCTTCTACTTACCTTTTTTTTTGGACTCTTCTGGTTTACAAGATAGCTAAAACCTATTTCCTCCTTATTTTTTGGGCTCTGTTACTTTCTACCACAGCTAATTTCCTCCTCCTACAATAGAGATGTTCAAGCCTCACTTATGGAAGTCCATGTGGTTTCATCTGTGCCATGTGGCACATCTGCAGCTGGAATTCACTTCTTGGGTAAGTTCCTCCTTTCTCCCTTCAATTCACTGTGACAGTCTAACATGTTCTTTTCTTACCTTAGAACCAAGGGACCCGAGGTGCCGCTGCTGTGCCTTCCTGCCAACTACCATGCTAATGCCTTTGCCACACTCCTTGTGTTGCTCTGCTCGACTGGGATTCACCTCACCTTGCCCAGCCAAGCTCCCTGTGCTGCCCCAGGCCCGTTGCATGGCCCTGTGGAGCAGCACTGTTCAGCCTGAACATCCTCCGATCGGTGCCTGGAGCGCTTGTATTTGCCCTGCTCAGCTGGCTCCAGCCCTGGAGATACAGCAAAGAAATGTTAATGAAACATGACAATAAAACCTAATACAAGTGAAAAATGGATCTGCTACCATGGTCATTAATGCTAGCCTCTAATAGTCTCTGTTAGTAGCAGTGTTTTTGCTTTCCTTGTCTGAGAGGCTACACACTTAGGATTGGTACACTGAGCCTGGGGGACTGCACCCCTGCCCATACAGAATTGAAGTTTCAGTAGAATCAGGTATGGAAAAATAGATATATGGAAAAACATGAGAAATAGCTATATGGAAAAAGTCTGCAGAGCCTCAAACAGAATGCTTCTGCTTGCACCCAGCCTCTAGCCCAGGAGGTTCCACAGAAATCATAGGTGAAACACAATGGAGTTAGTTACCTGTGCGGGCAGGGAAGGAAGAGCTACCTTTATTATTCCCAATGCAGCATGTTACAAGAAGCATAGAAACAGCACATAAATCCTATACTTAAATACTATAGTGTGGTGGTCCAAATTAACACCAGGAGTGCCAGAAGAAGACAAAGCAGGCACAAACACTTACTTACTGCATCTATCCATGGAAAAGTAGCATTTATGGAGAAAATAATTCCCTTCTCTCAACAGGAGAAATGAAAAAGCCCAAAACATGAGACAAATAATCCAAAAAAGCCATCATGACTGCAATGGAGCTAGGAATGCCTAAAATCAAACCCAGCTTAGCAAGGGAACAACTGTGACTGCACAGAAATACAGCTAGAAAGAGGACAGAAGGGGACAAAAACACCTTAGCAAAGGGCACTCAGGATCTCCTCAACCTCTGAAACTAGAGGAGAAACTATTCAGGCAGCACTTGCACATGTAAAAAGACCATTCACCTAAGAATACCAGGAGGAATTCCAAACACAAGTGTGTGGCTATCATTATAAACAAGCAGCTAAGGGACATCAGCTCCACTGTACATGCACATCATGGGAGATGCAACTGTCCAGTTGCCTTTGATGCTAGATATGAGGGGGAAGTCTATACAATAAAGATTGATACCAACAATAAACTCAGTGTGGCTGTTGTCCTGCAAAGGAAATGGGGAAATGCTGCCATATAGCAGAGAGCTCTACACAGCACACACCAAGCAGACACTATACTGAAATCAGATGTCCAAAAAGCCTTGGACAAGGTTATGTGCTACCAATTACTAAGGAAATTAAATCAATCTGCAATTACGCTTCCCTGCTTTCCATCTACTATTGCCAGGAACTGCGCCATATTCTTCTTGTGATCTTTCTCTTCCTCCCATGGTCCAACAACTTCCTGACATCTAGAGCTGTACCTTTCAGAACACTTACTTATCTAATAGCTAATTATGTGTCACAGGCCCAGTACAAAGCAGATGTGACAGTACCTCTCCTGTAGCCGCAAGCCCTGCCACGCCGTGAGTGTCTGTGTAGTATATTCTAACATCCAGAGCTTGTAGAACAGCATCATGTTGAGAATGACCAGCAGCACCAGACTGGGAATAAAGAAAACCATTCATTAGGAGCACTGCATAGCCACTGCTTGCCAGTCATACCCAAGGTTTTCAGAAGGTGTCAGGTCCACGCTGTATGGGAGTGGGAATTTAATCTAATTAAATTAGATTTTAATCTAATTTAAAAGAAAAAAGTGATCAGAACTCAAAACTTCACCTGGTGGGAGAAATGTGTGAGCAAGGAAGACAGGAGACAGAAAGACAGGGATGATGGGTCAGACAGAACAGGTTGGGTGAGTGGATGAGCTGAATGCAGAGAAAGGGAAGGAAATGGGAGAGTAAAGAGGTAAAAAAGAGAGAGACAGTACCTGAAACAGATCCTAATGGGAGCAGGGAAGAGAAAAGAGGGAGTAGCTGCAGGTTAGAAACAGACCAACACAGAACAGGAGAAACAGGGCTGAGGGGAGAAGGCTCAATAGTGCAGAAGATACATGGGGAGAGGAGGGAAGAAAGGAACAGTGGGAAGAGAGGCAAGAAGAATAGATACCTCACTGTGCATCTGCAATTAGCGGTGAAAGATGCTCAGCAAAAGCTGAGCTGTGTGGGCAAAAGATAGCACAAGGCTGTCTTGTCATCCTTACATTGCTTTACATCACCTTACCCATCATTACAGCAACTAGCTGGGCTGCTGCTGCAAACCTCTGCAGTCTCTATCCCCACTGGGAAAAGGAAACGCAGGAAGGAGCTCAAATTGAAAAGCAACCTCAGGCTACAACTCAGCTTCTTCCCACCTCACTAAAAGGCAAGTGGAGCTTAATGAGCCCAAGTTCTGCTGTTCCTCGTGGTTTAACAGTCTGCTTCCATTTCCCATGTTTGGACTGCTCCTGTACCACCTCACAGCACCTGCCCAGCACGCACTGCAACACTAACACATGAAAGCTACTTACCAAGAGGCAGAGAAACAGTAAATACACCTGGGATTAGGCATAAAGGCAAAGCACAGGGGTACAAGGAGCCTATAGCCAGCTCCCTTTGAGCACACATCCAACCAAATCCAAGACTCACCTCTGTGATAGGTGGTGGCAAAAAAGGGACCTGAACCTAACACAGTTCCAGCTAGTGAAACCACACCAATCTCTTGCTTCATGTATTTCTACCCTTATTTGCAGAAATCATCTCTAAATGGTCCAGTTTCTTTCTGAGATGGTGTCTTTCATCAAAACCACTGCCCAGGACCAGACTCTAATAGGTTTTGCCAGACCAGTGGAAAGAAGTCACAGACTCCTCACATACACTGAGCCCTGTTGTGGCAGCACAGCAACTCCCAGGGAGCCTGGCATGGTCAGCTTTCCTGATAACAGCTAGTTTGTTGGCAGATTGCATTAAATGACTTAAATTCACTAAAACCAAAACCAGCTTCTAAATGTCACTGAAAATCTCTTAATTGAATCCTTGAAATAATAAATACTTTCTACTTGTTGGATTTCTTTTCTCTTAAATATTAAGTACTTGAATTTATTTAAGTTCTTAATTTACTTTAAGCATTTGATAAATTAAGACCAGAACCTACAGAGCCAGATCAGTGGCCAGCTAAACACTGAAAAAAGCTGGGATCAAGCCAGACAAAAGACTGCCTGTCATTGCCTTTCCCCACTCTGTGCTGCACAAAGTTTGGGACTAGAGAAGAATATGTGTGAGTAAAAACTGGCTCAGGGGATCACAGAACACAAAAGGACCAAAGTTGTTAAAAGGCTGACAAGGAAAGAAAATCACTTACACAAAACTGATGACAAGGAGCAGCTTGGAGACACTCTGCAGGTGGAAGCCACTGGGGCTCTCCTCAGGGATGTGCCGTGTCTGAGTGGAACCTGAGGAGATGGATGAATTTAGGTTAGGAGATGCTGTCCAGTGGGGAGGGCAGCCCTCTTCCATTTACTTCCCCCTCTCATCTCATCAAATCAAATCAATCAAAATCAAATCAAATCAATCCAGTCCATCCTCCCTGCCCTGGAAAGCCCTGTCCCCTCTTCCCATTAACCCTCCACGAAACAATGAGGGGTGTGTGGTTCCTTACCTGCCACATGCTTGATGCGATGAGCAACCTCCTCATCGGTGGGGGTGGTGACGGGGCTCAGCACCTCCTCCAAGTGCGGCACCCGCAGGTGGGCATGGGCGCGTTTCCTCCGGCGCACGGTCGATTGCTTGCTCACCTTCTCTTTGGGGGATTGTCTGTGCACCTCAGCCAGGTACGTGCTCTCTGTCTTGGTCAGCTCACTCTCTGCAGGGGCAGCAAGGGGAAGTGTTTAATACAAGTGGTCTTGGCTTTGCAGAGATACAGACTGAAGCCCTCTAATGGGACAGGCAACAGGCAGGGTCTGAGAGGTCCATGCCAAAGGATGCACCACACATCACAAAATCATATAATCAGTTAGGTTGGAAAAGACCTTTAAGATCATCAAGTCCAACCATTACCACACGACTGCCAAGACAACCACTAAACCATATCACTGAGGGCCTCATCTACATGGTTTTTGAACACTTCCATGTCTCAGAGTTCTTCCTCGAGAGCAGCCCTTACTTGGAAATTAGGCTTATCACGGAAAAAGCATTTGAAAATGTGTTTTCCTACATAACTGTCTGAAAGCATGGCATACATAACACAGCCTTTTAGGCATAAGAAATATATATCAGAAGAACCATCAATACGCTTTACTGTTTCACCCTCGAAGGTCTGATCCCCAGTAGGCTGGCAGGACATATGACAATGTCATACTGCAGGGATGCATGCATCAACTACGGAAGGTGCCACACTGTGCAGCTCCAGTCATCGCTGCTCTTACCCAAATGACGGAAATAATCTTCCAGGCCACTCCAAAAGTTCTTCTCAATGAAGGATTTCACCAGCCCCCAAGGCTGTTTCCTGTAACGTAGCTCTGTGGAAACCCTACGGGAAGAAAGGAAAGTCATTCTCCCAGTTTTGCTTCCCGAAGGCGATGTCAATTCACAACCCTTTGTCAATAATAAATGAGAAATAACCCTGCACACTGTTATTTCTGGAATGGTCTCAGCCCTGCATGTTTCTCCAGGAGAAGCATTGCATGAAAAGGCCTTTCAAAGGCAGCAGTAGGAAGGCATCACAAGGGCATCCCCCAAGAAGACTCCCAAGACCTTCAGCCATGTGGCAGGCAAGCATTTACATTGCTTATTGAAGGCTAAAGTGTTGCCTGGCACTAAATTCCTCCCCCTGTCTCCCCAGGCTCATCTCAGAGGCACAGTCCCTGCAAGTATGTCCCGTTGCTTATCTCATGTTGATTGTATGTGACAACTGGCCCTGCAAACCATTGCTTCCAAGGTGGGGTCAAGAAAAGCCTGTAAAGGCCCTCCCTGATCCAGCTATAACTCCTCTGCATTGGGTCTATTGTCTGCCCAGTGTCACTACAGCAGGCTATTGCCCCTGTGGCAACTCTTCGTGACAGAACAAAGAAATAAGGCAAAGCCCCTTTTAACACACCAAACAGCGGAACTCCCACCCAAAGGTGCCTTTTGGTCATCATTAAAGCTCTTTTTACCCCCCAGGAAGTGTACCTGAGTCGACTTTTGTTTCTGGCAACACGAGTCAACGTGTAGCGGTTAATGGTGTAGAAATAATCATGGTAGGGGACGTCGTGAGTTAGCACCTCTGCATCTATGACATAGCACTCGCTTTCTTGGCTGGCTTTGTACATTGTCTGCAGAAAAGACAGCATGCAAGTCAAGTATGAGTCTGCTTAGAACATGGCTTTGATAGGTTGGCACTTTCCTCAGCACTTTTATACTAAGACAGCTCTACCACAAATACCCAAGCCCCATTTCTGCACTTCTCCTGTTAACAGCCCACCTTTAAGGGAAGGCATGCTTGAGGAAACCAAGAGTTTCATTCAGATGTTTCTCAAGGGCATATTTCAAAAGGGCCATTCAGCCCTAGCAGATGAACCCCCAGCATTTTGTACCAGAGATGTAGTTACATACACTACCACACGAGGACCTGTCCTTTGGGACCTCATTAAACTGATGTCTGGCTTGTCAGGGAGCAACCTGATCTAAAATGGCACTGCTTTGAGCAGAGGTCCTTTCTAGCATAAATGATTCTGTGATTCTAAATACTGTAGAAACATGTCAATTACTTCTTCTAAGTGTTTCTGACCTGATCCATATACACATCACAGAAAACATCTGTTTTCTTACAGGCTATTTCTGTGTACCTCTGCAGCAAGGACACAGCAAAGTGCACCTCGATGCTTGACCCAAAACTCAACAATAAAAGGGGCCATGTCCTTGCCTGCCTGACAGTGTGCTGCTCCCTTTGCCCATCACTTTAAACAGGTCGTCTAATTGTCCTCACCATTAATTAAAAAGCCTTGGCATCTCTATGTAGAGCTGCGAAAAGGACTGGCCAGACAGTATCTGACTTTCCTGTGCCCTGCTAATGAATAACATCTGCTGGACTGACCACAGCCCAAAAGGCACAAGTTTGGGTGACACACACTGGTGTTAGCATGTGCTGGCTTGTTCCCAAACAACTCTGCTTCTGCTGGAAAATGTATGGCCCTTTCCTTGCAAAGCAATCCAGGGTGAGTGTAAGATTAGCTACTCGCATTTGCAGTGATACTGGGTAGCAAGTTAATACAAGAAAAATGGGTAAAGGAAAACGGACAGGGAGAATGATAACATGCAAAGCAGCATGCCCAAGAAAAGGAGATCAATCACAGATCTATTTCTACAGAGCATTACACCCCTGCTCTCCACCTCCACGTACCTGTGTCTCAGTGACAGTGGCAGTTTTGGGGGCCAGAGGGTTGGTGAGGGTGATGGTATACAAGATCACTCTGGTCTGATTGCCATTTTCTTCCTTCTTCCAGGGATGAAAGATAATATCTGAGAGGACAAAACAGTATTCCCTTCAAGTAACTGGAGAGGGATCTCGGGTCAGTTCCTTGGGGAAAGGCATGACCACGCTCAGGACAGTATCTCCTTCCCCTTGGCTGCAGAAGTACTAGAGCTCAACTGAGTGTGAAAGAAATGTCCCTAGCCTCTCCCCCTTTCCCTGCGCTTGGAAGAGGGGAAATATCCATATTTAGTAGAGGAGACCTATCTCCTTCAGCTTTAAACCTTTAGTTACAGGGAAAGGAGGACTATAGCATGCCAAGGGGCACTCTCTTTGCACCATCAACTGCACAGACTGTGCCAGTGTGTGGTATAGAGCTAGAAAAGCTTTCTGCTGACACTGTTAAGCCTTGAACATAGGATCAGCCTTAGCTGATGTTCAGAAATAAGAGAGTCTGCTTCTTCCATAAGCTTAGACCTGGCTCTTAGAACATAAAGCTAGATAGCTCACCGGAGAAGCGGCGCTGTTCCATGAAGTCCCTCTGGAACTGGGAGTCCGTGAAGAGCAAGTCATACAGCTTGTCCACGCTGAAGTTGAACACCTCGTTCACGTACTGGCGCCCGTTCAGATCCTCATAAAAGGCTTGGACTTCCCCTGTCGGGAAACAGGCCCACAAAGCCCAGTCATGATCCATGCCAGTATCAGAAGCTGTCCTTTCACAGCACCAAGACATTAGTATTAGTGAAGAAGGAACCCAAAGAAGGTACTTGTAACCTTTTTCTTCCAATAGTTGGGATGTCAGAAGGGGTAATTAACTACATAGGTTATTTTAGGGACATCCTTCCAAATACCCCACATCCACAAGGATAGGAATTATTTGCATCTTCTGAAACTTTAGAGTCCAGAAAAGGAATTCAATATTCAGTCCCTCACGGGAAAGGATGGGAGAAGGCTGAAAACAACACTGATGGAACAGCCCTTCCCCACATACCTTCATCATGGGTCTCTGAGGAGTCACTGAGCTCAGTGGGAATGTCTTCGTTGTCATTGAAGTCTAGGGAAGGGGAGTTCACGGGGCTGATGATCTCTATCTTCTCTCCCATGATATTTGCAATGCCAATGTCTTTTTCCACAGGACTCTCCGCCACTGCCTCCTCCTCCTCTGGTAGCACTCCATCAAACTGCAGCAAGGAGAGAGCACAACAAGGGCAAGATCAGCACCTGGAAATGGGGGTTATTTCTGAAAACTGCACATCTGTGGGCCAGTTTTCATACCTGTGAGCATTTTGGCCTCAACGTGTCTGGAAACTAAATAATAGAGACAGGAGGAAGGTTACCATATGGTGTTTGTAAAACACATGGACATAGTAGACCACCTCCTCTCAAAGAATCACAGACAGCTCAAGCTGAGGTCGTACACAGGGCTTGTTGTTTGTTCAGACAAGCACATCAACAACACTGGGTTTTCCACCAAGCAAACCCTATGCAACTAGGAAAATCTGAGGTTATATCTGGGGAGTTGGAACTAGATCATCTTAAGGTCCTTTCCAACCCTAACTATTCTATGATTAAATAAGGTCTGCTCTGCTGTAATACTAGGAGGATACACACTGTTTCCTAGGGAATAACTGAAGGCAGAGAAGAAATTATAACCCTTTTATCTCCACCACTCCACTGATTTTCATCTAAAAGTCCCCACTTTTTTCACTGGCTTTTAGGACGTTAGGCATACTTTGGACACCTTTTCATGGCCAAAAACCATGCTTATAGATAGCACTGACTTGAGGACCAAGGTTTGCTGCAGTGGAAGAGAAGCTGCAGGGTAAACATCAAGGACGATAATCTGGATCCCAGAGGAAAGGATTACTGCTCCCATTGCAACAGAGGAAGCACTTACTGAGGCTGGTGCTTCACTGCTTCCCGTGGATGTCAGTGTGCTGGCAGTGACAGATTTCTTTGGCAGCTGAGGGCTAGCTTCTGGCTTGGCCTCCATGCTGCTTTTGGAGGAGCTGTCGTTGACTTCATTCTCTTCCACAGGGATTTCTTCACAGTAGCTGAGACGCCACAGAGAACACAGGTTTTTATGTTTACCCCTCTCAGTACAGCTACAACTGGACACACAGAGCAAGTAAGAACATTTCTATGAGGTTTCTAGGACGAGCGGGAGCAGAAATGGCTCAGTACAGGGAATATCAGCGCTTTCTGACTGTGTAACACGCTGACTGGTCTTGTGATGGGATGCTTTGGCATTTACAGAGTTGCTCATCTAGCCCAGCAAGTAGAGAGGCAGGCATTTCATCCCTGCCAACTTCCATGAGGAAATGGTGTGCTTTCAGCTTTATAGATGTTACACATTTAAGGGCAAACATTTGGCCAGAACCCAGCATCTCTCACCGGGGACAATCAGCAGTTTGAGGGATGCAATGTATATCAGGACTCCTGCTCTCCTGAAGCCATCTTTTCTTCATCACAGGCAGAGTTTACTCCTCCTCACTCACCCCATTGTGTTGAAGTCATCATCAGGAGGCACATAGTCTTCATCATCACTGGTCAGACCCAGCTCGTTCCCGTAACACTGGTGGACAAAGTGCCAGAGCTCCTTTGGACAGAGAGGCTAAAAGAGGGAACAGAGAACAGCGTATGTTTTCACCTGAGAGTATTCTTCCCATAGTTACTGCATGGGATAAGGCAGGAAATTTTTAATCTGGCTGCCAAAAGTAGCCATAAAAAAATATGGGGAAAAAAATCATATAATGAGAAAGTTTTACCCTGAAAATATCTATCTGTGTTTCACCTTCTTCCCACATGCACTCTAATTCACATCAGGAGAAAAGGACCAGGTTCTTTCTCCCTCTTTCCTGCAGGCATGGATCCTACATTCGGAAAAGGAGCTTTGGAAGTGGTTCCTGTCTTCATCTCCATTCTCATTTGCTTTGCCCTTGAAAGCAAGGGCACTGAATTTCGTTAGGAACTCCAAAAAGCTGATCAAATGACAGCATATGGCAGCAACAGAAGCTGCCCAACGCAAAGCGATCCTTTGGCATACCAAATCCTACCCCCTTTTTCAGGACAGGGTATTCTGGGTGCTTAATTACTTCAACCTCCCAGCACGGTATGAACTCAAGCCAGAAACATCCCGAAACGCTGGGAGCACCATGATGTCAGTTCATGAGTGTTGCTCCCGCAGGGAGGCCAGAAATACTCAATGGATTGTGGAACAGATACTGGGATCAAATACAGGACAAATGGGGCCGCTTCACAGCAGGTGCATGTCCTGCTTTATTGTACAATTCAACCCACTGAGCCCTTACCCTCAGCCAACACTGGTTGGTTTTGGGATGCCCTGAACACACGCTCCTTTTCTATCCTATCTTGAAGTCTACACACAGACTTAGGAAGAGCTTTGCGTATGCAGTGAGCTGTTTCTGTTCCATTTTAAACTCTTATCTTTTGGGCTGTTTCACTTGCACTGTGGACCACAAAAAACCTCCTTCCTAAGACGTATGCTTCCACACCTTAGCAGAGGCAAAGTGGGATCTACTGCGTATGCAAGACATGTCTGTATGTCAGAATTCCATGTGAAAAGAGAGAATTTCACCTGCAGTGATGTACCTAAACATGTGTCCTTACTGTCCCTATGTCTTCTTATGCATATACATTAGTCAAATCTGCATATATTCATCACCTCCTTTCCATCCCACTCCAGCATTGAGGGGCTGGTGACTGTACCTTGTCAAGGAGAGCATTCTGCCACAGTCTGAACATCATCATGTATGTCCTGTCTCGAGCCCCAAAGGAAGTAAAAAAGTGCTGAATGGGAAGAGATGGAGAGAAAAATCAGTTCAGAAAAGACCCAACAAAGGGAAGAAGAGACAAGCCTGCTTGGTTCACTTCCCAGCTACAGTTTAAAGCAAGCCACACAGCACAGCTACTTGGTTCTTGGGTACGAGAACTGAAGGCCTCACAAAGGAGGCTGAGTGCATCTCACCCAGGGATGCTTAAACTGAGAATCAGCTGTAAGGCCTCTCACTTGATTCTGAGCACAGAAACAGTTCCATTAGGGGTGTCCTACTAAATAACCCAGACCTTCTACCTGTTCCCACACCCTTCATATCATCAACGTGTGTTCCAGCCTCAGCCCAAGATCTGCAGAAGCTCTACACCCAGCCCTTGGTGCCTCCTCCCTGGTAGCACAAGCAAAATCCCACGACATTCCCTGCCCCTGCCAGCCATAAAGGGTAGCCTGGAGATGAAGGCCTCAAGGATGTACCTTTTCAGTGTCAGTGCAAACTTGGATGGCATTAGGAATGAGCCGTGCTGTTTTTTCCTTGGTCATCGAGCAGATATCCTTCAAGCGAACCGTCAGCTGCAGTCAGAGCCATGCAGAAAGGGGAAGGCAGAGAAAGAACACAGGTAAAGATGAGGAAGACAATGGGAAGAGTGCTTCTAAATCCGTGTCAGCAGATCTGCTGGCACAGAACACGTGCAGCAGTGTGACAGCCTTACCAGTGTCTCCCAGCGGAAGATGTTGCTGTAAAAGCAGATCCAGTTTTCAGAGAGGTAGAGGCGGCCCTGCAGGAGAATGTCTCTTTGTAGCGCGCATGAGTAATCTGTGGGTGGACAACAAAGAGTCATTGAGGAGCACCAAAACCAGCGTAAAGGTGAGGATAAGCAGCAGCAGCAAGAGAAGAAGCTACTCAGTGCAGTGCTGAAGAAAGCCAAAGGCAGAACCAGAAGGAACTGAGTCACAGCTGCTGCTCTGTCCAGTGGGTTATGATTCCTCCTAAGGGCATGTCAAAGACAATCTCTCTTAGTGACTGATGAACTTGCCTTATTAACATCCCATATACTGTTATGTGTCTTTTCCTTTTTGCCTTCTAGTTCATTTCTCTCCCATTTTAACCATCCTAAACCATTTCTATTCCCCTGCTAAGAATATGCACTTTTCAATAGAATGAGACATGATATGAGATCACCAGTTACATAAAATAAAAGAACAGATGCGATGCACTGGGCAGTCACTAATCAACTGCAAGGCCAAAGACTAAATGGATATGGGAAGGGCAGTCATGCGTGAGTAGGGAGCACCAGGGATGTTGGAAAATAGGAATGCTCAGTGGCACACATGTTGAGACATGCAACCCTGACCAAATGAGGAACGAGCTCCAAGGCTGACACACTGTCAGGTCTGGGGGAGCAGTGTGGAGGAAAACATGCTCCTCACATCATGAGGGAGCAGAGCCATAGCTGATACAAATCAGTGTTGCTCTCTCTGAAGCAAAACAGATGAAACCCATTAGAAATGGCGAGGAGGGGTTCCATCTGTGCACAAGAGGGACACAATGGGCTTGTTCCTTGGTGGCAACCTCTTTGAAGAAGAACAAGCTGCATGCATATGTGCTGGATAACCTCCCCAAACCACAGGCCATCACAGAGCACTGCACCTTACCTACGATGAGGCGCTCCGTGTCAGGAAGCTGCTTGAAGAGTTTCCTGAAGTCTTCATTCCGCTGTTTGTAAGTTGGACTCAATACCTGCAAATAACAGAGTGCCTGTTAAAGAGAGGGTCAGGCATGAGTACAGAGAAATGGAGTGGGAGAACGGGAACACCTTGGTAAGGAGAAGGGGGATCAGATGCACTTACAAAGCGTGAGGCTAGGAGATCCCCATCCCAGCAGACACACAGATGGGAGGATTTGGGATTTAGTGCATTAAGTGAGAAAAAGAGGAGAACCTGACTTGGAAGAGCAAGTACAGAGCAGAAAAGCTACACCTGTATCTGCTAGGTAGCAAAATGGAATCGAATGGAAGCTGTGGCTGCAGGAGAAACATCTTTTCCTGCAGTCCTAGACTGTACAAGGTATGAAACATGCTGTTTGCAGTGCATCAGTTTGCCACCAATCCCCAGCTCTCCCAGGAACACACAGCAACACAGGAAAACAGGTGCTTTAGTAGACCTGCAGCCCTACCAGAGGGACTTGAACAGTCACTGTCATCAAGAGCTCAGGAAAACTGCAGTCATTCCACTCCTCTCCCCATCAAGTGCTGGCCAGTCAGTGAACCACAACTACCCACTGTACACCAAGAACACTCCTGTGGGGCTCAGAAGAGGCTCTCATAGGGACTCAACTCTGTTTCGCACTCATTCTGTAGACACTTGGCCTCATGGTGCTGGTGTCTGGAGGGAGCCCAGAAGCTGGCTTCTCTCTGGTGTTTACTACCCTATAATGTGCCTCTGCCCATGTCAGACCCCCCTGCACACCGTGCCCATGCTGACAGCTGCTCAGAACAGCCAGGGCATTTTCTGAAGGCAGAGTTGACCAAAATAGAGGCATGACCAAATTCAGGAGACTCATATCTCCTGCTTGATCTATTATGCTCTTTCTCCCACATGTAGGGAAGGTGAAGCAACCTGGGGTACAACCTCTTCCCTCCCTATTTCCATTTCCTTTCAACAATCCTCTCCTATCTCTTCCAGCTGTGAAATAGAAATCTTCCCAAAGCAGAAAGGGAGCCTCCCAGGGCCCCAGAAATCAGAATGATTATAGAAAGTAGCTTCTGTTTGGGAATGGTGGTGTCAGGGTCACAGGGGTGGGAGGAATAGGAAGTTTATATAGAGTTGGCTTTACAAATGCTGTCAGATCAAAGAAGGAATCACAGACAATCCCCCATCTCCCAAAAGCATTCCCTCTTCCTCACTCCAGTTCAATGAACTAGAAACCATATCTTTTAACATCAACTCAGCACTTTGCTCCAGTCCTGTGGTCCCCAAAGAAAGTCTCTTACTTCTGAGTACCATCTGCCAACCAGCAGATGATAGAAATACGGATTTTACTTACCAAGCTTCTAGTCTGAACATCTGGAAAAGATCTTGGTCAGAGATGGGCTCCAGTAAGAGCCCCAAGCCCAAGATTTCCTGGGACAAGCATACAGGATGGAAAAGGAGGGAGGGGAATATAATCAGCTCTGAGCTTTGGGTTCAGTGCATTACAGCAACCCAGCTTAGCAGTACAGTTTCATGTGGAGGGGTGCTCCCCTCCCTGCCCTGCAGTAAGGGATGCTCTGACCTAAAACCTGTACTACAACAGACACTTCTGCTCAGCACCAGAGCTTCTGTTAGTGACAAACAGTTGGGTTCAGAGACACTCACAGCTGGAAATTCATCTGATCCATATTCTTGCGATAAGTCAACAAACCCCTCCAGGTCCCTCTGTAGACAGGGCAGCTCCTGATCCAGCACCAGATCCCAGAGAGACCCGCACTCCAGCAAGGAATCCATAGTGCTCCCACTGCACAGCTCCCCGTGTTCCCAGTCAAACTTTTCCTGTTCCTGCTGTCACCGCTTCTTGTTTAGATTCAAAGTCGAAAGAGATACAGCAGCTTGGCAGGGGTTTTTGTGCCCTCCCCTATGCTCCTGTTTGCATTCAGGTCGCCTGCCCTAGCAGGCTCTCTACATCTGAGAGAGGGTTTGCCCTCCAGAGGACTTTGCAGAAGCGGCTCATTGGGGTAAGCGTGCTGGCAGGCAACCTTGGTGCTCTTCTGCTTCAGCTTCACCACCTTCTTGCTGTGGGCATCCCTTAAAGCAGCACTGCAGAGATGCCGACAGCCCGAGTGGTCCCAGGCAGGTCTGTGCAAGGCACCTGCAGCTCCCAACCAAGGTCTGATGCACAGGAGGTGGTAATTGATATAGCTCCAACCACCAGCACCAGCGGCTCAGAGGCTTCAGCGTGGGTTTATTTCCACCTTTTTCAACCAGAAAGCAGTCACTCTCACTCCTTCAGTGCCTCCTCTCTATTCCCTTTCTGCTCCGAAAGGCAGCTCCAGTCTTTGTTACGGCTTTTCATGGAAGGAGCGCCTGGGGAAGATCCCAAAACGACTCACACATGCTTTAAGTCACTGTAGCTGGGTAATGCTGTCAGGCAATGCCCTGCAGTAACCCAGGCTCAGCCCTGCCTCCCAGCAGATGTTTCCTGTAATGGAAAGTTGCTGGACAGAGTGTGCTGGGGGAGGCGCAAGGGGAGTTAAGAGGGACTGGTCTAAAGCATATAGCGATGAGGAATCAGGCATGTCAGACACACAGAGCTAGGAATCTTAAGGGATCCGCAACTCCTATACATGTCTCTGAGCTCCCCCAAGAAGCACAGCTTTTTCTAGGCTTCCTTCATTGCTCAGGTCACTCTGGAAATGAAGGGCTCCAGCAAATGAACTCGCTGCAGGTCCCAGGATGATTGCTTGGAGCAACGGAACTCCCTATTACCCCTCTGTCCCTACTCCCCAACCTCTCCATCTCTCTGCTCAAGTGAAGAAATGAACAGGTAAACGTCCACACTATGGCACCAGTGATGTTGAGCCATGATGCTGAGACCACTAAATCTTCATCCTTCCTAACAAACTGGGCACACAGATATCAAAAACCAAAACACCATCCAACCAACCAAGCCTATGCAAAGCCATGGTGTCATTCCATGACCAGTGACTGCAGTTTGCTCCCTGGCAAGAGCTCTGTCTACTCAGATGCACCACAAAAGCATTGCTGGTGCTAGACAGCATACAGGTCTCCTCATTTAGCTTTGCCAGAAGGAATCAGTATATCCATCTGCCATCCTACAATGAAGGAACAACAAGCCTGGGAAGGACAAAGAATTAGGATTACAGACATCTGTGAGGTACCTGCATTGCTTTACTGAATGGCCCTATTTGGTGGAAACTGTTTATGGGATTACTTCCAAAAAGAACCCACCAGGATGCTTCTGTCTGCACACCCACCCACCTCTATTGCAGTGATGAATGGCACAAGTGATGGGAAGAGCTAACCTGGAGGTGGAGACAGCAAACATTAACTCTACTGCAAACAGAGAGAGACAGGACAGGGTGGCACTGTGATGGGGGAAACAGGGAGAAAAGGGTGACTCCCCATGACAAGAGCTCCCTGTTAATACACAAACAGATCCTCCAACAGGAAATTTAAAGTGACTGTTGCTGGGGGATGGGATCTGACAACACAATAACTGAGATAGGTATAGTCTGGTTCAGCACAAGCCGCAGAAAACAGGAGAGATGAAAGAGGCAGGGGAAAAAAGGGGGAAGGAAAATCTTATCTGGTTTGCATGACTGATAGACTTGCTTTTAACTCTTTAGGGAAGAAGATTTACATTGCTCCTGGACAACAGGAAAACTACTGGAAAAGGACAGCATACATTCCCCCTCTGACAGCAGCACTGCTATGCTGATTAATGCAGCAAAGAAACAGGCCACCTGTCCCACAGCATTTGTTCCAAACCCAGTCTGGTCTAAGAATAACAGTTCTTCTAAACCAGAGTCTCCGTGTCTGCAGTTACTCACTAAAGGCATAAGAATCACCTCAGGGACTTCTTCCCACAGTTAGTGAACCCAGGCAGCCCAGTCATGGTCTGCTCTTCCATCATGAAGATATGAACACAGAGCAAAGGTTGAGTGTATTTACTCTCAAACTGATGTTCTTTCCTAACCTCACACCTGGACCAGTTTGTGTTTGTCCTCTGGAAGGCAAAGCAGAGAAAGCACACCAAGACCAAGAGACATCTTTGCCAAACCAACGCAGGACCTTGGTTCACCCCTTTTCTCCCACTTCTCAATCTGATAGTGATGTCAATCCCAGAAAGCCACAGTAGGATCAACAGGAGAACACACAAGGTGAGAGAAGCTGGTAGCATCTTAAGGAAAAAGTAGACAAAAAAGGAATCCAGGAGAGGGAAAAGGAAGGGTTCCAGTTGCAAAAGAGGGAGACAATGCTACAAGGACAAGAAGATCAGTTAAAAGCAGCAAAACCTGAAGTAATCTTAGGAAACAGGCATTCTGACCACTGGTGATCTGAGGATATTTAAGGACTGTGTGCTCCTTGAGGAACAAAGAACAACGTGGAGAGCGTTTGCTCTGAGCGTAGGGAAGTTTATGCAAAATCAAAGTGGTGCAAAGCGAGTAAAGGTAATTGTAAGGCTTTGCGGAGGGGAGAGGTAACCTCCACACATTCATTTCTAGAGCTGCTCTCAGTGGGGAAAGGAATAGAAGAACCAGAATGGTCCAAACACCAGAATAATCCTGCCTGGAAGGAGTTGGCAAAGAAGGGAAACTGTATCAAGGGGATACATTAGCAACTTTTTAATGGTAATAATACTGCCAAGTAGGATTGACTTTGCCTGCTTGCCTGGAGTTTGTGGCCCATCCATATTTCTACATTGCTGCTTTTATCTGGCCAGAACGTCTCTACTAATAGAATATGGTTTGGTTTTGTCTTCTAAAGGGAAATAATTGGGAGGGGGAAACCACAAAAAATGCAGCCAGTGCTTACTCTCCGGATGTACTGTCTCTCATGCTGAAAATATATGGAGGAAAAACAAGAGAACAGAAAGATAAGATAGAGAGAACATGAAAACACAAGAGACCCACAGAAGCAGACCACAGCAAAGCATCATGCAGCAGGGTATGGATCTCAGCAGCTACAGTCAGAAGCAGTAATAGCAAAAGTCACCTTTAGCCAGGGCCACAGATTCACATTTTTTCCCTATCTACCTCACTCCATGTTCCCCTCTTTGCCATGTCTCCACCAGTTTGACCTACCGTGGTTTATCCTTCATTCTTAATGCCATTGCCTCCATGCTTCAATTTGCTCCTGAAACCACAGCCTTTTCTGTCCTTGATACTATCCTGGCACTGATTGTATACAGCAAGTAACTAAGTCTGCCTCTCATGCCTCTGTCAAATCTGAATCAGCCAAAATCACTGGTTCTGATGTCTACAGGAACATTCCATGTTGCTGGACGTGGAATGGCTGCTGCATTTGCCAACTATCTACTTTAGAGCACTCAAGGGATGAGGGTTTAACCGTGCAGAATGACACCAACCATGGGAATTCGCACAGTATGTACTGGCAGCACTGCCACCCGTGCTTGCAGAATGAAAACAAGACCAAGGCAGAAGCAAAATGTAGTTTTGCTATGGTTTTTTAGACAGAAAATAGTTCCTCTCTTGCCCCACACCACCCTGAGAGATGCAAGGGGTTTGCAGGGTGGCAGCTCTGTCCGTCACCACATCAGGACCAACGCTGCTGGGAAACCATAAAGTACAGGATTGTGGAGATCATCACTAGGGTGACTGAAAAGACAAAGCTTGTGCTCTCTGTGTCTGGCATCCCTTCCCTCAGGATGCCAGTTCTGAGCCATTGCCATCTTCTCTTCTTGGAAATGGTCAGTATGCCCCAGTGTCACTGCAAAGCCCCTTTGCACCTTTCCCCCCACCCAAGCACCCAGCCCATATTCACCCAGGGACAAGAGAAACTGGAGTACTTACATTATACCAACTCTGGCTTTTCTGTAAGGACAAAATAAAAGAGAAGCATTAGTTAGCACAGAGATCTTTGGATCCAAAAGAAAGATGGACAGAGAAACTAGGTCCGATCTGGTTTGTATATTTAGTGAAGTGAAAGTGGGGTTAAATAGAAGATATCAATGGTGTGGTCTAAAACGGTTATTTCCAGTTACAGGAACAAAGAACAAATCCAGAAGTACAAGTCCATCATAGGAAACAATTCAGGCTAACATGTGCATGTCTCCATGCACGCACGCACGCACACAGACTGTGCTCCCTTCTGCAGAACAGCAGCACCCACTAGCAACAGAGGAGCTCCTCATAGTCACCATCAGCCATGTCTTTGAGAGGCTTCATCCTTCCACGGCTGCTGGCCAGGTAGCAAAAATCACATTGCACTGAAGGGACCCTGTGCAAATAAGCCCTTGAGGAACTACAAGGAGGCAGGGACACCATCTGACTCACAAAAGCCATTCAGCAAACTTTCAATAGCGTTTTAAGGAAAACTGCTGAAATAAAAGGAAAAATCACTAGAAAAGCTAAGCAAAACAAGAAAAAAAGAGGCTGGGATATATTTTTCCCCTCCAGAATTTCAGTGCACAGTGTTTTACATCATTTCACATGTGATTTTATTTGTCTTTATCATGGCATTTCAGATGGTTTGAGAGGACAGGCCACATGGCACACTGGAGCATATGAAAAAGCCAACTCAGCTTGGAAACTCTCACTTGGCAGTTCTCAGCTGGAGGTGAGATCTATCTGCACAGAGAGAGGAAGAGATGAGCTTCACACTCCCACTCCAGCCAGGCTGGCTTTCCAATGCCAGGACACAAAGCAGCACTGGCAATATAGGCATCCCCTATTTTAGGGTGGATTTACCTGAGGGCAGCGGAGCTTGGGAGCCCTGTAGCTTTTCACCACTACATGGCTGTGCCCATCCCTCTCTCCCAACCAGCAATGCATGTCCACATTGCACATGGGGGAGCTGAGTCAACACACAAGGACAGAGCAACATTTCAATGCATTTCTTTCTTTGAAGCCATCTTGCTTCTGACCTTGGACTGGGAGTATTTGTCACCCAGTTTGGAATACGAAGGGAAACGACTTGTAACAGAGCCTGTGGAAGTTTCACTCAGAGTTATATTCACAGAAACACAGAAACTACCTGCACTGGGATAGCCCACAACAGGACCAACAATGTACAGGATGTTTACCAGAGGAAAGTAAGCACCAAATGTTAATGAGATCAGACTGGAGCAGAGATTTCTATGTAGACATGGGGTTGCTTACACTGTTTTTTCCTTATACTCCCCTGCGTTCAGCTCCCTCTGCTCCCTATATGTCAACTCCAGCAGACAACCATACTGGCATCTGGATCTCATTCCTGCAGCCAGCATTCCTGAAGGAGCCCTTGCAACCCTGGGCATTGCTGCCAGTTTCACTGCACTGGTCTCTAATGGGAAACCCCACAGTACATGCCACAGGCCAAAATACAGAAGTTTGATGTTAAAAAAAGGAACACCCCTAAGGCCTTTCCCCAGATCCTGGGGATAGGATATGACCTGAATACTCAGTATGGCTCATTAACTAACCAGAGGAATTTCCTCTTACTTCCTACACTTTTCCATACTTGGCCATATCCTCCATTCATAAAGGGTCTGGTTGAAGTCATCTTTCTTCATAAGTAGGACATGGAAAAACACCTTATGGAATTCAGCCTGTACTAAAAAGAATTGGGGGAATTAATCTTAAACCATATACACACCACCTTGTCTGGGTTGGGAGTGGTTTTCCTGTAGAGCTGTTTTGCCATCTGTTTGCCTTAATGAGCAAAAGGCATAACTCACAGATTCCTGGGGGAAAAAAGATTCATAATCAAACTATAATTGGCATAGACAAAACAGAGACACTGCTATCACTGTCTCTTCTAAATAAGGGTGCACATGCTGTGGTGTCAGCACACTGCCATAGGATTTCATCCCCCTCTGCTGCATTGACTGCAGTAACTCTTTTCTGCCCCTTGCATTTGAATGTCCCCAAACCTCAGCTCCTCTGTAAAGGAGCTCTGCAGCTTCTCCTTCCTTAAGCTCTTCCACACAATTATATTGACCTCCAAGCCTCATCTTTTGCCTCCACTCAACATGAGGAGATTCCTTCCCCCTGACATCTGTTTTGCAGGTAAAACAGTCCAAAGAGAAGGGAAGCTGAGTCCTTAAATCTATCTTCAATATCATTTACCTTCTTTTTTAACTCCCATAGAATTAGAATATAGGGGATGTGAATGATGAAAATCAAGAGAGTTTAATGGAGGGGAAAAAAAGGAAAGAAAAAGGAAAAACATATTCTTACTTTGAGCAGGTTAAGTCTGTCATACTGGAAAAAGAAACCATAAGCATTAGAACTGAAAAGAGAAAAGAAATAAGTAACAGAGGAATGGAGTTGCACACGGAAGTGGAGAAGATGTAACTGAGTTGCAGAGACAATGCTACGGGAGCAAATACCAGAGTTCATAGTTACACAGTGGCTGTAACCAGGAAGAACTTGAGAAAGGCAAAAAATGGGGCATTTTCCCTGAGCCCTTAATTAATATACTATTGCCTCTAAATCTTCATAGGATAATGTCATTGCATATACTGCTATGGAAGATTACAGCTTTACAGAGCTAATGGGAAGCAGTGGATCACACATACAAAGTTCAGCCTGCTAACTTGATGCCAACACAAGTTACCACCTTTCAAGCATTACTGGGAGCAGGATCACAACTAACTCCTACTGCTTCCAGGGGAATGGAAACCTTTTTCCAACTGAATGACATGCCATAGAGCTCTCTAAGTATCCTTAAATCTATTTTATGACTGGGGAAACAGAGGCACAGAACCAGGGTGAGGGCAGAGCTTGGAACAGATTCCAGAGCCCTTTCTCCTGACTTGTGTACTTCCAAAAATCTATGCTATTCACTTCACTTCCAAATCCCTATGGCCAAATAACTCAAAGAAATTAATGACATTTATTCCCAAATCTCTCACCCTAGTCCAAAATGACCAGTATTTCATGACCTGCTACCTATAGGATTATACCACCCCATGGGAGGGGTAAATGAGAAGACACAGCCAAACTCTTCTCATAATCACACACTGAAAGGACAAGGCGCAACAGTCATAAGCTGCAGGAAGGGAAATTCTACTTGACTAGGAGGAAAAAGCCTGTTCCCAAGGGTGGTTAAGCACTGGAGCAAGGGCTTGCTGAGGCTTTGGGATCTCCAGTCTTGGAGCTCTGCAAAATGTGGCTTGCCAAGACTTTAGACCAACCTGTTCTAACCACATCAGCCCTGCTTTGAGGACAAGAGACCTTCTGAGGCCCCTTCTGACCTAAACTGTTCTACAGTCTCCAAGACTAACATCAAAACTCATGTTGTCCCCTAACCTGGTATTTATCCTCAGCATTCACTATTAGCTATAGACGGTGGGAAGAATATAAAGGATTTATAATGGAAAGGAAATCACTTTTAACCATGGGCAAGAGCAAAAGAGTTAAAAATAGATATTTCATTGCTGGCTGTCAGCAAAAAGGGGAGTTTTTTACTAAGTTCAGAAAGCAGCAGTGTTTGCCAATAAAAGCCTAATGCTGACACACGCCTGTAGGTGATTTGGTCCATGCCACATGACGGACAGGACGGAAAAGCTCTTTCTGCAGGAAAGATTTCCTACAGATGTCACCCAGTGCTTAAAAACTCCTGGCGAAGCGCTCCCCCTGATGGCAACACTGCAGCACGACAATTGACACAACACACAAAAGAGGGCAGGGGACTTCAAGCAGATCTGTCAGCAATTGTATAAACACAGCATCAAACTCATGGGCTCAAGCTGGTTCATTTCATTAGCGAGACAGGTTGGAAAACGAGAGCATTCTTCTTGCACAAGACGGGTGGGGAGAGGAGAAGAGGCTGAGAAAGTAGATGTTAACATCTTTGTCCTCTGGTTCTTTGTTCCTAACCTCTCCCTGTCTTAACAGCCACCATCATCATCTGTGTGGGGAGTATCAGGGGGTTCATTACACCTGAGTTTCCTCCCTTTTACCACGAATGCCACCTTGGGGAGCACAGAGGAGAGATTGACACTGCTTTAAGCTCACCCTGTGCACAGACCATGGTAAGCAAGGCAGCAGGCTCCAACACAGGCTTGGGGAGGTTGTGCCCAGGATCCCCTTCCCTTTGTGCATTGTCTTCCTCGCACTGCAACTCACCTTGAGGTCCACTTCCCTCTTGCTTCCCTAATTCTCTTCGAGTTATTGGGGGTTTCCTCTCATCCTCATGTACTGCTCATCACAGTACCACTGCACATACATTTTACATATACAGCACTCTCTACCAGTGTTCTTCCCACCAGTCCCTCTTCTAACAAACTCCTCCATAGCTTAGGCAAAGCACCTCCTGCTTACCACGACCTGTCCTGACCCACACACCTCTACTCACCAGCAATCCTTTCAGGACTCTTTGCTACTCCAGACCTGCATCTTCATAGAGCTTCTTTCACACTGTTGTGGTTTAAGCTACAGTTACCAAGCACAAGACAATCTGTCTAATAAAAGACATAACAAAGCTTCCAGCAGACACCAGCAATCATGCAAGGTCAGGCTGGATAAAAGAGGCACTACGACCAAGGGAAAACAGTAAGCCAGCACTGCAGACTTCACTGCTCTCTGAGAACTCGCCTAGAATGAAATCTAAGGCATCAACTGGGGAAAGGCCAAGGCATCGATTCTGTAGATTATGAAGCCATCCAAGCCATTCTGGTTTTAACTTGCCTTGTATATATGTGGAAATGCCAACAGCCTGGCACGCTGTCCAGTAAGCATCCCATCCGCGTTTCTGATTTGTACACTCTTCTGAGGGCAGCATAGAGATGTGAGATCAATCTCAAGTGATCTTATCTCCAATCCAAGCACCCACAGAGGGATCTTCTATTCATTACCTTTGAGGGCGAGCCCATGAATTCTCACAATTCATTTGGGACAGGTCTGTTCTAACAGGTTTAAGCTGGATTCATTTGAGATCACTGATCTTTAATATTTACATCACACAGGAATAGCGTGCGAGGGCAGTAAGCTGAGATCACTGGCCATAGAACAACTATTCATCATAAAAAGCAGGCAAGAAGCTATAGAGGTCAACTCTTGTTTCTGAAAGGGATAAAATAAGAAGAGAGGAAAGAGAAGGGATTATGGTACTGTCAGCCTACCAAAGCCAGCAGATTTCTCTGGCAAAGACAGCAGCTCGCTTCAACGGGAAGGGAAAGCAAACCTTAAAACAAAGGCTAAAATTAGTCAGAAGTAATTGAAGGAATGCAATGAACAGGCCAGATCTCACACCATGTGAGCAAATATTAATGAGATCCCAGTGATATAAGTGAAACCAGCTTCAGCTACAGGCATGGGGCTGAGCTCTTGCTGACATTCTCACAGCCGCGCCAGGAGAATGCCTTACTGGGGTCACCGCTCAGTACCACTGGGAGGGTTTCTGAGTGATGAGACAATTCTACAGTGGGGGACAGGAGAGAAAAAAGAAGGCTTACTTTGGAGAGGCGCTTGTGTGACTTAATCGGAGAGAAAGCATGCAGGAATGAAAAGAGAGAAATTAAGGAAAGAAGAAAAATTACCTGGCAAATCAAGAGAAGGAAAACCCACAAACCCAACAGAAAGCATTATACCCCCCTCCCCTTTTACTGTGAAAAGCACCATGAAGTAAAGCCAAGCTTTAGTAGTCACCGTGTTTGGTAAGAATCAAGCTCCCATGGCCTTAAATCACAGCAACTCATTTCTGTAACTCCCCCTTAGTAAGGATGCCATTTCCCACACAGTGTCCCCCAGCGTGGCTACAACCACAGCATCCTGCCTGCCTCCCAGCACAGCTTTCCTTTGGGGACACACTGCTGGCACCATAACACCCGAGGCTGTCATCCGGTCCGGCCACCCTGGGCAGTGTTTGTAGGTTGCTGAGTGCACAGGAAGCAAGGCTGACCTCAAGGGCAACCTCAGAGCTGACAGGTCTCGAATGATCCATCCTGGGAAAACCCTTCACCCGCTCTTTTGAACTCACAATATACTCTCCCCATAGTAGTGAGTGATCAGTGAATGGGGGCCAGTGAATCCCATTTCCTCTGCTGACAGTGACCACAAAGGGGAGTGGATGAACACTTCTTGTGTGGGATAGCGAATGAAGGCTTCTTGTGTCCAGCATAAATTGGGCAAAGATCTAACAACTCATTTCACACAAGCCATCAGAGTTATGTCTGTGACACCACGCTGAAATATTTCACTTCAAAACACCAGAAATACACACATGCTCCTGGCAGCTAACTGTCTTATATGCCACTGACATGAGGGTTATAATCAAAGGTTATGTTTGGCTCCCATGTGTGTTTGAACAGGTCCCATTCACTCACAGAAAATTGAGTCACCCAACCCTGTTCCTCAGAACAGCAAAGACAAGGCTGTTTCTAATATGGTCCAAAAGACACAGTATCTGTCAAGGGAAAATATCATCAAAAGACAGTCAGAATACTGCACTGGTAGGAGGCAACATGCAGAGGACTGGCCAACTGATTCTATGCAACTTGAACCTCATCTCAGCACAGGGCTTATGACTGAAGAAATGCATGGGCCCTTCCTAGGCTGTCTGCACAGAGGAAACTTTTTTTGTTCCATGACCCTTCATGTTCCAGATAATAAAAAGTCATCGCAAGAGCTGATTTTCAAGGTCTTTATCAAAACCACAGAGCCCCCCACAGAAACAGGGCCTTGACTGCAAAAAAGTTAACCTACTTAAGCTGTTATGGAGCTGCAGTACAAGCCATCAGCAACTGATGGACACTGAAAGGATGCTATAGTTGTGCAAAAGTCTGACCTACACAAATGGATCCCAGTTCGGAGAATCTCCAGAAGGATGATGCGGGAAGAAAGAGGAAAGTTAGCCAGAGGGAAAAAGGCACAGACAAAGCCAGTGTACTGCATTAGAGGGTTTAGAGCTGGGGACACATGCACGTCTTGCCCAAAGTCATTTGCTCATTGCTTACCTTGGAGTTCTTGGCCCCGCTGCGGCCTGACTGAGAGGAGCAGCTACGCTGTACACCCTGCTCCGGCGTGGAAGGGGATTTGTCCGAGGAGTGGTCCGAGCCTTTCTCCACCATGGCGTCTCCTTGGGAGTCCTGCGGCGTCGGGGACCGGGAGCGTTTGCGCAGGATCGGGGAGCAGGCAGGCGTGCTGCGGTTGGAGTTACTGGCAGTACTGCAAAGGGGAAGGGAGAATGAGCAGGGTTAATGATCTTCAGCTCAAACAGAATACAACCGCATCCATTCTTGAGCTAGAGCTTCACTCACAGATTGGTCCACCAGCACGGCAGACAAATATGAAGCAATGCACCCAATGCCACACGAAGGACTTACATCCACAGTGAAATTAGGCTGCAGGCAGTTATCATTTACCAGTGGCAAAGGGAACTACAGCAGTTCCCTTGCCAGGGTCTTTCTCCACCCACTCTTCAGTTCATCTGACCACAGAGGAATGCCCACAAGAATGAACTCATTCTCTCCTGTCAGCTCTGAGGGTTTAAAAAGAGGATCTGAGCTTAGGAAACCTAAACTTGCTCCCAAGAACGAGGGAGATGTCAGTGTGTTCTCAGTGGAGTCCACTCTTAATAGAGTCCCACTGTGTCCCTCCTTTATTTTATTCCAGCAAGTATAACTAGTCTCAACAGGATGCACAAAAATGGAACCATGTCTGTTAGGAAACACTCCATTAAAGATCATCAAAAACGATGGGGCACTGGGAGGGGAGTCATGATAACAGACAACACAGTCATGATTTCCTGTATCAAACCATCCTTTCCCACACCAATTCGAGTTGTGCACGGAAACGTTTTGCTATGACATAAAAGCTTTCATGATTTAAAGAAAGAGAAGTTGCCCTTTCATACTGGGGAAAAACAAGACCTTTCAGAGGTTTACAGAAGATATGAAACATTTAGGGGAATGGAACTTCAGTAAATGTCCTAACACCTATATCAGAAAGCCAGTTACATACATATTTATACAGAACAGGAAAACTCAGATTTCCTCACTGTTCCTTCTCTTTTGATGCCTCTTCTTCCTGCCAGACACTTCAAAATACCACACGCTGCATCCATTTTTCCCTGTGTAACTCATTTCCTTTAAGAGCTAAAACTATTTATGACCAGCACAAACATCTTTGAGGCCTTCCCTGCTGGTACTGTTCAACCCTGCAACCTGCAGATCACAGTGGAACCTGGGCTGATCCAAGGATGAACTTTGTGCTAACTCTGCCATGCAGAGTTGTTACTGTACTCTGTTATCTTCTGAGCATTCGAAAGCAAAGCCACATCTGAGTGAGACAGAAGAGTATGCAATAGGAAAAGGGTGAGGCAATTACAGCTGTAAGGGATTGCATTAAAGAAGTGAGTGCAATTGAACTCTTGAGGGCTATAATTTAAGCCCAATTACATACAGCAAACTGAAGTTTGCTTCTCACAATGTGATGTACAGTGGGGGACTTAAAATGGATTGTTTCCTTTCTGAAAACATGCCTGAGGTTTCATTCATTCTCAGATAAAAAAATCACATCCACCTCTTACCTCTGAAGATGCCAAAATCATTTTACGCATGGTAGTTAGATAACGTAATACACTCCTTTATCAAGGAGTGATATTTATCACTATCTTTATCACAATCTACTGGCTTAGTACTGGATGAACTGGTCTCATAAACTACCCTCTACTTGGTCACTGTTTGTTTTAACACACAAGTGATGACATTTTCCCTAAACAATTTGCAGACAGAACACTGCAAAGTTGCATATGCAAACATCAACAGGAGCCAATTTCACTCTCATATGCACAACAAGCTTACAAGTGGTAAGAGAAACGCCAACAGCAAATTGTGTGCCCCCTTTCCTTGGTGAAGACACTGGAATACTGAACACCACTCTGTGTACAGCACAACTGTAGCAATATTCAACTTTTAATCCCTCCAAATGGTACCTGGAACTAAAGACTGAACTAAAGATGATCCCCAGCAATACAAGGCAAGAATTTGAAGCCAATGCTCCTGAGTCACATCCCACTGCGCTAAATCAGTTTGAACAGACATACTCATTTCTCTTCTATGAAACCTGGGTTTATCATGCACAACCTCCTTCTCATTTTCAGTTCATGTGAGTTCACATGCACAAGTTTCACTCTTGAGTTTCAGCTTCAAGCAACTCTACACAGACTAAGGCAAATTCAGCCAAGGTTCTGCTTGCTTTCAAGGTTGCAGATAGGAAGGAGCACAGAGTTTTTACTGCTTCTAAAGTAAAAGACAATATAACCAGTTCAAAACAGGGTATAGCTGTACTATATAGTACAGTGTATATAGTACTATGTGTATGTGAAACTCAGATGAGACCACTAAAAAGTTTGATAGTCTTACTCAAACCATAGTCAAATGAGAAATGAGACAAATTCTGCCTTTTCTGGACTGCAATAAATACATTAATACTAGCTCCAGTACACACTCACACACAGGCACGGAAGATACAGTCTCAGTTTTCACACTCTAGCACATACCTGCTTCCAACCAGGCTTAGCACACCTAGCACAGGCACGGCTAAGCAGTGTGCAGCTATGGAGGCCAATTCAAGCTGATCACCCATGGTCTTACCCACTCCTCAGGCATGCTGAGTAACCCATGCTGCTGCAGCTACACAGGAGCAGCATCAGCACTAACTCCCTTAAAGTTGCATGTATGTGTTTGTCCAGGCTCCGTTCACGCTGCTGTAGCTGTATGTTTTGGTGCCAAGCACAATCTCAGGCATTCTCTGGTCTCCAAGTTCATTTTCCAGTCACTGAGCATCTCTGGCATGCTCTAACAATCTAAATCCATCTGTACCTATTGTGTTAGGTATGTATGGATTATCACCTTTGCATTGAGAGAGGAAAACAGACAGCTTCTTAGGCTCTCTCTTAAGGCAGGAGACATGGAGCTGATCAAATTGAGAAGGTCTGAATCCACCTTTTACTATCTGATGACTGGGCAATACTGAGTATTTGTTACATGGAGGGCTCTACGGCTGTGCACACAATGAGGAACACTGTTGATTCAGCCTGTCATCTCTGCAAGAGCAAGTATGGGCACAAAACCCCCAAGCCTGCAGCTCCGTCCCACTCGCCTCCCCCTACCCTGAGCCCCTAAAACTCGCTGCTCCTGCTCAGTCCTTGAAGTTTGAATCTAACCCAAGGCACAGCCATGACGAACGCTTTCTGCAGTTGCCATAGTGACCACGGCCTGCCATTGAACCAGGAATCAGCGCCTGAAATGCCAAAACGGCTTGACCCACTTTGAAATGAAATAATAGTAATAAATAATGCTTTACAGACCTAATTGACCAGAGCACATTCAGGGCCTCCCATACCCCCGCAGTGGAGCCTTTAGTAGATGCAACAGATTAAGTAAGGGACAGAACACAAACAAGCCCACCTAAGCAGCAGCCCCTTGCTCCTAGGTGGAGTGTATGGAGTATATGAAAGCACAGAAGACAGAGCGTGTCGTCTTGGTTTATGTTCATACTGTGCCTAAGAGAAACACCTCGTCTTATGATTGGAGCTGCAGTAAAAATAACATGAGAAAGTGTGATGCAGATAGGAAAAGGCCAAACTCTGTTCAGTCACGTGGAGGACAAGCCTCAATATCTGAGCTTTTCTTTAGGTGATAGAAAAAGAATGGATATTTGGCAATGCACAGACAAGCTACCCGGTCATACCCTACGTTGTACGCTCCACAAAGCAAGGATGCAAGGCAAGACATAAAGAACACAAACTTCCTTCTCTCGTGGAGTATTTCCTGTAAAGATTTGGACCAGCCAGGGAAAAGAGACTTCAGCAAGCAGAAGCTGTTGGGAATGGCTGCAGTCTGTATTCCACAAGCTATGCCTGGGATTCTTACAGCTATAAAGGAGCCCTGAGATCTCTTTGCAATGCTCTAATGGAAAACTCAGCAAGAAACCTGACTTCGAGTCTGTTACATGAATGACATACAAGCATCCCTGAATTGACATGAAAGTCTGTCCATCCCACCAGATCTTCTGCAGTAATCACCTTGCCCACCATTACAACAGAGCCTGTTCCCCTCTCAGGTAGTAATACCCACAGTAAGACGACACACAGCGCATCCATTTGAATCTGTCAGCTGTAGGATGTGAATTAAAATAATCACTATGTCATGAAAAGTACCAAAGGATTTGTAACAAGGGCAGCTCATCTAAACAAGTGGCAGCTTCAGGTACATGATGCTCCCACCTTCATTGTGATCACCAGCTTCTCAGGCAGCAGAAACACATCAATGACACCATTTCCTGCAGTGTATTTCTAAACCCCTCTGACTTCCTCGATCTGGAAAGCTAATTGGCAGCCTCAAAGTCTGCCACAGGTCTCAGAAGAACTTACTTTACAGGAGTAAATGTACTTAAGTTGCTTGCATCTCCCCGCAGCCCATAGTACCTACCCGATAACAAGCTCTTCAGGGCCCAAAATTGGGGTTAACCACAGCATTGCAAATGTTGGGCTTAATTCTATGAAGTACTGAGCACTGTATGCCTCCAAAACAGCAAAAACTTAAGCATGTATCGAACTCTGTATGTCTGAAATCTGTGCAAACAAAGTCAAGCCTGTGCTTACACGCTTTCCTAAACAAGAGTGAAGGAGATCCTCAAGCATAAAACAGAACTCTACTGATAAAGCCTTGTAAAGAGCAGGAAAAGCTGCAAGGTCAAGAAGGCACCTCAAGCCTGGATGTAGTACAAAAGGAGTTAATTCTCCTCAGAAACAGCTAGTAAAGGGGTTCATTAGACACCCACAAAGATACTTTTCTGTGGTACAGTCTGACATCAGTGGAAAAAGATGAGATTCAGAAACTCATTATGCAGTCTAGCAAACAGCAAGCAGATGGTAACAACTTTTGATCATCACCAACCTACACTCACTTCAAATTGATAATCCAAGAATGAAAACCTCCATATATCCTCCAGCAATTCCCTGGGCTTGCCATGGCTCTACAAGCAGTAACAAAATGCTATACTTATATTACATCTCCCAGTAAAAAAGACAAAAAAGCAAGCATTACATTAAAAAGCAGTGATACCTGGAGGGCTGTACAGAAAGTGAGCAGTATTTCATAGCAATTGCTTTAAAAATAATAGTGGGAATAGTATAATTTCTTCATGTTATTTA